CGGCGAATAACAACGATAATGCTCGGCTGTAGTTAATCAAATCTGCACATGCAAATACCCACGACGATGGAATATGTAAATATTCCCTGCTCCCCCCTCGTCCCTCATTGAATTTGCACAAAATTAACAAGCATGCCGAAATTTCCGCGGAAGTGACCCCAATAACAATTTCCTCGTCATTATATCGTACATGGTCGCACCCTCGAATCACATACGCGAATTCGACCCGAGTCGCTTTATTTTTTTCACGAAACCACGCACGAGAACGACTCTGTCTTCCTTCCACGCTAGGCCGGCACCGCGCACGCGCATGAATTATTTATACTCACGTAGGCAGCTTGTTTACAACGTGGCCGGCGATATTTCGTAGCACGAAGAAAAAAGGGAGCCGTGGAGCCGCACATTTCCGACAAAAATGCCCGCTTACACGATCCGGCCCGCTTCTAATTATACAATCACGCAATTTGTACGTTCACGTGCGATTAAGTCGTTAGCTTTTATGGCGGACGCGACGGAAAAATTAAGAAACTCGCCCCCCCTGAGGGACTGATATTTAATGGCCCGATTTTATTTATTTTACCGTCGTATTTTATCCGTACACAGCCCGAATCACCGTGTCCGCGGCGCGACAACGATTATTACGCTACTTAGGCTAAAGATCGGTCACGTGATTAATAGTGATTACTAGATTCGACGCCAGGTGGTGCACTTTCGCTCGGCTCGGCCGCTCGCAGCCGAAGATGCCCGAACGTCTCAGTCTTCCTCGCGCCTTGCGTTATATAGGTCAGCCTATCCGATGGATTTCCGATATCGTCGATTATCGTCTCGCTCTTTTTGTGCCAAGTAGACGCTGATCGCCTGTGCCTAGGACCTCGTCCGATGAAAGTAACCGGTTCCCTATAGTCGCTGTATCAGCAGATCTCTCGTTACGAGGAAGCGGTGCTGCTTCTTTGGCAAATTCGTGCTCTCACTCTCGTTAACCTCGCCTTTCCGCGTCGAACCCACTCTGCACCTGGCGTTTAAGCTTGATTGAAAATTAACGAAAAGTATACCGAGCCGAATGCGCGCGTTGAAAAATGGACGAGCGGGTCTAATTATCGAAATAATGGTATCCTCGGATCGATAAAAATCGATACTTTACGAGTGCAACGAACGTAATGCCGCGTAACGTTGACGTTACTCGATCGTTTACCGTTCTGGTAGGTAAAAAATTGCCCGCTTCCAAAGCATTTATCGCGTCTTTTAAAATTTCTGAAATATCTTTCGCGCAGGGTGGGGGAAAAGACATTCGACCGCGACACAGGGTGATAAGATACAGAGAAACAAGTCAGTGTCGTATTTTTAAATTAATGTATGTATATATATATATATAATTCTTAGTCACGTGGATCTCGGAGGGCGTTTCTGGGAGGTAGGGGCGGAGGAAGGGCAGGCTGGGTGGGTTGTACAATATACAATGCAAGCCACGGAATATCACGGATTCTCGTGTTAGTTTAGAACGTTTCGATTCTCCTCGAGTTACACTTCTTTTTGCTTCTTTTCTTTCTTTTTTTTCTTCGTTTATTTTATTGCTTTTCTCTCGACAACGTGTTCTCCTCTCTCTCACTCTCTCTCTCTCTCTCTCTCTCTTCCTCTCGCGCTCTCCTTAAGCACACAGGACCGCACGCAACGCGCTTCGAGAAGTAACCGCAATAAAGATACAGAGTGAAACGATGAGAAACAAAACGGGATTGATGGTTGAGCAAGATTCTCTCACGGAACTTCGATGGAAAAGATCGCAGCCTCTCGCAGGGCCCCGTTACTCGACGATACGGCCCTGGTCTGCGCACCGAGTGCTGCGCACTACAGCTTCGTCGCTTTCCGAGCCCCGTTCTCGCTCGAATCTTAAGCTTTTCGCTTCGCGTTTTCTCGCGTTTTCGTTACACGACACCTCCTCCGATCTTTGGAGCCGAGGAAGCAACGTTTTCTCTTACAAAATTTCCTGCGTGGCTTCGTTTTCATTCCGATCGACAGAGGTGGCCACGCTCCGGTCGTTTTCCTCGAACCATCCCACTTTTCGAGCAATTTCGAGTTCTTTTTCGCGTTTACTGGATGATAGTGTGATTATAAGGACCGTGAGTCGAGGAAAATTCCAGGGCAATTGAAGGAAAACTCGAGGAAAATTCGAGGAAAACGAGCTTCCGTCGCTGAAATGGAACTCGGTCGGTCGAGCTTCGTGAGTCTCACGCTGTTAACCCTTTGATCTTAAATCTACCATCCTCGCCGCGTTGATCGAATTCCTCAACGAATTTCAACATTTTTAACAAAAACTTCCAAATTCTCTCGATGCTACTTTCTCCGTCGCGACGAAACTACGTCGAAACGTTAGAGGAAAGGCGGCGTTGGAAAATTTTATTTGTACAGTTCGGAGGGGGCAATTCGTGCCACGAGCAAATAGAACGAACGAACGAAAATAGGAGGAAAGCGAGAGAAGTAAAAAAAGAAAAAAAAGTGGGAGAACGGAGAAACATTTAACGCATTTATTTAAAATTTTAAATAGGAAAAAAATATTTTTAAAATCATTATAATGACAGTTTGTAACTGGCGAAGTAGCATTAATTAATTAATTAAAAAAAAAAAAAAAAAAAAAAAAAAC